AGATTAAAATAAAATAAAATATGTTATTAACCTTCATTGTGACGAGGGTCCTGGGAGATCGCAATTTTTTCAATTCTCCAAATGCAAATGTTAAAGACGCGGGAACGTTGCCCATGGTAAATAAACTGGACGGGAGACGAGGCGATGATCCGTTAAGTGTATTGGAAATGTACTCAAATCCCCAAGAAGATGTCAAAGAGATATTTAAATTGCGAAGTTCAATGTTTTGTATGGCAATCTACAATTTTTCAGATGACACTTAAAATTCGTTCTTCGTTCTTGAAAATCAAAAGCACACCCAATGTTGCACTGTCGAAAAGGATATGTATATGATTGTTATAAGTTGTCGTAAAACTAATGCCGAATCAAAAAATTTGTTTTGTGCATAGAGGAGACCGGGGCTAATTGTCACAGTTTTGAATTCAGTCGTTCTAACTCAGACGCCTTTTAATATTTTTGAACGAAAATTACTCTAAATACTCAGTTGGTATGTAGATACCAACGACTAAACCTTCAGTAGAATTCTTGTGACAACAGAGGCATGTTGTCACAGTACCTGAGGCAAATTGTCACAGTATCACAAAAATAAAGAAAATAAGAAATCAAAGGGTTGCATTCAGAAAACGAAGTTACAGTTACGAAGAAGTACTATACATACCGTGTTCTGAGTCACAGTATTGTTACATACATAAAACGGATTTCTATCAGCACAGTTTTCATGTGCCCATTGTTTGCAAGTTGTACATCTAAGACCTATAGCTTTCAATTGAAAATCTGTAGGGTTTTCCGCAAATAAAACACATACAGTCTTCCTCGTCTGATGAAATTTCTTTTTTCTTAGACTTTGGGTAGGAGGCAGATTTTTTAAGCGGTTTTGATTATTTTACTAGTGACAACTTGCCCCGTTTTATTTGTGACAACCTTCCCCACTTGACCTGTCGAAACTTAATCTTACTCGTCGAATCGAGAGACGGCAAAATACATTTAAGATCATAAAAGAAATAATTACTTACCGGCCGATGTCAGAATTATTTTGTATGGTATTGGTGATAAGTAAGTCCTCTCGACTGTATGGTGGTGGAGCGTGTTGCTATCGCAAATAAGGGAGAAATAGGAATTGTAACAACTTGCCCCTGTGACAACTAGCCCCGATCTCCCCTACGCAGTCGGTTATTTAAATTTAATTTGATAACTATGCAAAAAATTACGCGTTAAGATGTTCGGAAAATATAAAATAGCATTTAGAGAAAATATCTATGGTATGTACGGACATTAAAATTAAAAAAAAGTAATGATCTCCTAATAGGTAAACTCTGTAGCATAAGCAACCAATATGCCTATATCACATCGGAGAGGAGATACCTTAATTTGTTGGTTCGCATTTCTAAGTTGCACAATATATTCAAATGTTGGTTACGTATGCTGCAGGATTTACTTATCCGGTGATCATTACTTTTGTCAATGATTGTACCCATAGGCAAGTTGGGTTTGCAAATTAAAGGTACCGTACAAATTCACAAAATTTATGGGTTTGAATTTAAGACCAAATTGCCATTAATCCAATGTTTAACATTTTTTTAATACCTATAAGTAGAGTAGGTATTTGACTTTTTGCAATTCTATCGTAAACTTGATTATGCAGTCTATTTACCAGGCTACTTACTCTATTATGGTATTTAAAATATTTGGCGTTGTCGTCACAGAATTAATAGATGAAATAAGTTCTTCCTATTTTGAAAGGTGCTCCTCTGCGAACATTATAAAATCGACGTTTCAATGGGCCACCCTTTATTATTCCTAGGTGAGTAAGTATACTTAGGTAGATATAAAAATTAAACACAACACAACTAATAAGATGCGTGCGCATTCGTCATGAGGGTTTTAGATCTCAGCACTGCAAACTAGACCCTAATATACCTCGCCATGTCCACCAGACTGCGACACAGCTGTAGGTAGATTCATCTACTTATAGGGAATGCAATACCGAAATTGCGGGATCTCGAAATACCGAGATCCTGCTTCCTGCAGCATTTTTTGCACGATTAATCCGGTACGGAAATGGAGCGGGATTCCGCGGGATTGCGAAATTTATCGACCAACCTTACCACGGGCAGCGGGCACGGCGTTGTTTAAAATTTATTAATAAAACGCGTAAGTGTGCGTTTACAATGAACGTAGGTATACGTAAATATTTCATAAACCGTAACTCGTACATATTCGTATCGTTTCCGTAAATTTACTGGGTCCGTTAACTTGGCCCTCCCACTGAGAGATTTGATAGTCGTATTATTTTGAAATGAATGCGCTCGTTATGCGCTCATATGCGCTACCGATAATAACTCTTGCGCCATTATCGTTTTTTAGAAATCCGAAAAAACATTTGGGGGGGGGGGCCAAGTGAACGTAGCGTACGTATTTTATCCCTTGTAACTAGGTCACCTGATACATTTGGTTATGCGCTCAATTGCGCCACTTGAATTAAAGCTAGCGCCATTACGGTTAAGCCGTGACAAATTTTCAGAAAGTGGGGGGGGCCAACTTAACGTTTTTAAAAGTTACTTTTTTTTTACATCTTTTCATACGAAATTGTACTCTCAGGTATGCGCTGAAATGCGCCGTAAAAAGATATCTTTGCGCCATTATTGTTTTTTGGATATCCTTAAATATATTTGACCGTACGTAACTTTGAAACATTTTCAACCTTTGCGACTATGCGCAAGACTTAGTGTGCGTTTACAATGAACGTATACGTAAGAAATGCATAAAACGTAAAAATTTTGCAAAGTTGAACTGTATAGAAACATACGAAGGTGTTTACAATGAACGTAATTTTTACGTAGGTACGTATAGGTATATGTATCTAAGTCTTGCGCATAGTCGCAAAGGTTGAAAATGTTGCAAAGTTACGTACGGTCAAATATCATACTACTTGTAATATGATCTTTGGTTTATTGTAAAAAGCAAAGTAAAACACTAACGGAGAAGTGCATTGGCTTTCCGTTTATGCGTTGCGTTTAAAGCAATAATACCGCGCTAACTTTTATGAGTTATTAACTTTGATAAACAGCTAGTGAGTGACTCCGCAACTGTTCCAAACGTATAGGTACCGTTAATCCAATATACAACATTCGAACTCATCGATTATTTATAAAGACTATAGTAGTAAAAAGTGGCTGTATGGAAATAAATATTGTAGCGAATATTATAGAAATCCAGATAAGCATGGAGGCGCCATAAACGATTAGTCACCGACGATAAGAAACGAAGGCGGATGTGACGCATTCTTTCTGGCAAATACGACGTGTGTTGTTCGAGAATATTCGCTGAACCGGACAAAATTGCTTACGTTCCGATACATTTCAAATTTTGCGGGATCCAGCGAACATCGATATACCGCGGGATTAATACTTATATAACGATCCCGCAAATACCGGAAATAAATTTTGCTGCGGGATAGCATTCCCTAGATGCATCACTTGTTTGATTTGGTTTATATAGATAGTAAATCTATTTTGAATATAGTGTAAAAATAATTTTTCTTGTAAGTATATCTCTATAGAGGCTATGAAATATGTCTTGTGAGCGGTCCAAATTTTAGCCTATGGGCGGCAACAGTTACATCCATCTTTATGAACGGCAAACTACGCCTATATATTATATATTATATAAATATAAATTATATATAAATTATATATAGGTAAAAGAAAGTTTATCGAGTATTTTAATTAGGGATATTAGCTTCTTTTAGAATGAAATAAAATACTTCGTCTAAGGAAGGCATAATCTAACACGTGCCCGTGTAGGAATAAAGAACCGCGCTAAAGGTTTCTTTAAATTTATACTACCCAATCAATCAAAATGTTTTTATACTTGGGGGGGGGGGGGGGGGGGGGGGGGGGAGAAAACATTCTTACATGAATCATGGTTTTATTCATGAAATAATTTAGAATTTATGAAATTGTTGATAAGTAGTATTGCATTTTCATGCAATTACCCTCGCAATTACCTAAATAGAAATAAATTAATTACCTAGGTACATATTTTGATTTTGAGTAGCTACCGTTATCTAGTTGCAAATAGCTGCATTGAAGTGAAAACTTGATGTATCAAATTCCCAAAGAAAACCTTCTCTTTTATTATGCGCAAAGTGCGTCTGTATTAGGGGTGAAAACGTGACGGTCTGTTGTAGGTAGGTAATGGTTTATTTAAGGTATAAAAATCGTACGAAAACAATAATAAAATTATGAAACTGTTTGTATAATTATGAATAATTTGGGGCGTCAATAAGAAATGTTTGAATAAAATAAGTTTAAACCACGACCCTGACTGAGCGCAATAAATCCACACCGCAAGTTTTGGTCTACATACATATGTATAAGCTGCAAGTGCTAAGGCCCTATTGTATTGCAAATTCAATGTTAATTTCCCCGGCACCGACCGACCGTATGATTTGTCCGCCGCTTCAACAGGTGACTAGATTTAATGGATTTTAAAACTGGGCTTTAAATATGTCTTTTTAGCGAATCCAGTTTGTGTTTAATATCGATCGCGCTGAATGTATAATTTATGTGTCAAGTGCGGTGATTATATCTCTGTAGGTAAAAATTGCGGTTTATCTCGTAATGGGGAGGTGGCGTCAGGCGTCAAATTGAATATACTTAAAAACAGAAGCTTGTAATTTGATAGGATGGATTTTTTTTGGTGTGTGTATGTGTTGAACTTCTGATATTCCCGCTTCGGTAGGCTACGTCGTCACCGGAGTGTGCGACTCCAACACTCGGGCACGCTCTGTTGCTTAGCTACCGTGTCCCGCCAAGTGTAAACACTTCCCCGCCGTGGTGGGGAATCTTCCTGCAGGCGGAACTGCTACGAATTCAACCAGTGGTGGTTGTAGTACTTGCGACGTCATGCCCTGTAAAGAACTGAATTGTGTCCAATGGCGCGCGCACGGCGTTGGTGGGGTGTTTTAGTGGGGGTACGCGATCCTGTCAGGGAACGTTTAGTGTTCAGTGGAGTAGTGTATACTGAGACGTCATGTGTACCGAATGATATGCATAACGCATGAAAGCGTGCTAAAGAAGTGTGCAAGTTTTGTGACGGCAAGTAAAAACAGTGTCGACACGACGGCTTGGCGCCCCCACCAGGGCATGGCGGCCACCACGTATCTGCCGGCCAGTAGTGCAGTTACTTCTGATTTAGACGGAAGTAGTGTAGTCGGCATGAATATCGTTGGTGGTTACCATTCTAGTGCATCTCCGAGATCAGCAGCAGACGCGAGCGAAATGAAGTACCTGCCACAACATCACCATCACCACCACCACCAAATGGCGAGTTCGCCGTCGCCGAACGGTCACCCCGTCTCGTTATCCGCCGCTAACCCGTGGGTTAGCTTACAACCGGGAGCGGATCCGTGGGCCGCCTCGATGGCAGGAATGCATCATCCGCACCACCATCACCACCCGCACCAGGACGTCAAACCCTTATCTCAACAGGCGGACATGATGCACAGGCAGCAGCAGCAAAGTATGGGATCTCCGCATGCATGGCATGCACCAGTATCGTCGGCACATTATAATCCCGGAGGCGCGGGCTCGCCGTTACAACAATACCACGCGGCTATGAACGGTATGCTTGCCCACCACCAAGCCGCGCCACAATTACACCACCCCTTACATCGTGATATGCAAAGCCCACACCATCCGCAACATCCGGATAGAGACGTGGGCGGCGGAGACGAAGAAACGCCAACTAGTGACGATTTGGAAGCCTTCGCCAAACAGTTTAAACAACGACGTATAAAATTAGGCTTTACGCAGGCGGATGTAGGATTAGCATTAGGGACTCTTTACGGCAATGTGTTTTCTCAAACAACAATATGTAGGTTCGAAGCGCTTCAACTTAGTTTTAAAAATATGTGCAAACTTAAACCGTTACTACAAAAATGGCTAGAGGAAGCGGACTCGACGACGGGATCTCCAACATCGATAGATAAAATAGCGGCACAAGGCAGAAAGCGAAAAAAACGTACGAGTATAGAAGTTTCGGTTAAGGGCGCGCTCGAGCAGCACTTCCACAAACAGCCGAAACCATCGGCACAAGAAATAACAAATTTAGCAGACAGCTTACAGTTAGAAAAAGAAGTAGTGCGAGTGTGGTTTTGTAATAGGAGGCAAAAGGAGAAAAGGATGACACCGCCGAATACTTTAACAAACGAGATGATGGACGGCATGCCGCCAGGTGGTCACATGCACCCCGGCTACGGCCATCATCCCGACGTTCACGGTTCTTCTCCCATGGGACAACATTCACATTCGCACAGTCCTCCGATGCTATCTCCGCAGGGTATGGGCCACCAGCTTGCGGCGCACTAGCATCCAGCCCGTTGGGCCTCCCTATTACATCACAGCGACAATGGCTAGCGCGTTTCACCGCTCATTCATCTCTCCGTTCGGGTGCATCTTTAAGTGGCTAGGACTTTTTTTCTGCACAAGTTTGAAAGTGATATATACAATGTGACCCAGTGGATTGTACTTTAAAGACACACCGACGAACGGTCCGAAGTTATCGGTTTTAAAAGTAACGAATTAATAATAGATCAAAATTATATTTTTAAAAATACTACCTCACTGTATAATTAAACCGATCATCGGCTAGCCGGAGGCCCAATTGTTGACTTTTTTGCGCAAGTGTCTGTACCTAAACGAACTTCTTCATTTGTATATTAACTGTAAATAACAAAAAGTGATAAATGACGCTGTTTGTAAGAAGCATGTGTAATATAAACTTAGACGAATGTTCATCATAAATACGTTGTAAATACAGAAAAATAATTATGGTGTAGAAATGTCGTGATTTATACTAAAATTAAAGAAAGTTACACCCGGGATGGTTTAATGAATACAGCTACAGAGTAAGTTTGTATTATATAGTATGTCGTACATAATTAATATAAATGAAGTTTAAATTGCTCTTCCGTTGTTAAATTTGGTTAACGTATCGTGCACTTGAACTGATTTTTAATAATTTTGAACGATCCGTGATGTCCCCCACGTTTTTTTTAAAACAAGAAATATGTTTGGTCATAGATTGATGATATGTGTATATATTTATTATTATATTAATTATATATCGTTGTACGGTGTGACAAAAATTAAATCGAAATGTTTTTAAAATAACACGTCTATTATTTAAATCCTTCTTGATTCCCGTGCAAAAAACTAAAGTAACGTACCTCCGTGTCTAAAATGAAGAGGATGAGTTGGTGAGTCTTCATTGTTTATTCTTATACTTAGGTACAGCAAATTTGAGAGAAAAGCTAACGATATTAATGATAAGATAAATAAACCGCATGTTGACATTCCGGCTTCCAAAATGCTTATGCAGCACCTGTTCTGTGCCTCCGTCAAACCGTGTAAATACCGAGACCAATTTTATGTTTAAACATACCTATCAACTTATTTCTTTCGAAATCATTGCTTTCAAGAAGTATAGACACATATTTCAATCGACCTTATATTACGGCCAACCGGTTTTTTGACGTGAATATTTTCGGAGATTTTTTTAACACGTTTTTAGACTAAAAGTCAGTCGCATTTTTTCTGATCGAACGATCCTCTTCAAAATTTTAAGCTCAACGCGATACGTTAGGTTTAACGAAAACTGTCAGGGTAGATTAATATTACAGCGTCCAGTGAATATAAGTAATGCCGCCAAAATTTGTTTAGTAATTTACATGCGGGGGCAAACTGTTATATACCTAGTTGTTTGGCAAATATAAATAAACGCGTAATGTTAAATTTGAGAAACAACTCCCGGCTATAAGTCGTAAGTCAGGGTTGGAAAGAAGTAATAATAAAGGCCAATCATTTTAAAACTGTAGGTTAAAAAAACAAACGAAACATCACACGTTTAACCTTCTAGGAAATGCTTTTGGTGTTTTTTTTTTGTAGTCTCCAGTATTACCGAGGTGTGTTCGCAGCCCGACGCTGTATGGGCCCCGGGCAGCCTTAACTGGCTCTGCTCGATCGAACGCAATCTGTTCACCTACGTCGAATTCTTTTAAAATCTAGAAATATAAGAAACCTACCTGCTCGTTTACAGCCGTAGAGGTAAAAACTGTTAGGGAAATGTTTATGGGGGTTTATGTTTACGTTAAATCACATCGTGTTAATTAAAAAAGAGAGAAAAGTATCAATTATCGTAACCCATAATCAATGCTGCATATATTGAACGAATTAGTCTACCCATATGGTCGTTTATTGAGCTGTAACTAAGTAAAAAAATTTGTTCACGTACCCTTATAATGAATAAAATGCCCTCATAAGATTTAATAACTGTATTAAAGCGACAAATCAAAGCATGTCGCTTCAATAATCATAACAATATGTGATTATGCGAAAAGTTTGTAGTAGCACAAAATTAAAGTTTATTATACCAATATTTAATATTAATGAGGTAATTTTAAGGTGTTGCCAGACCGGATTTGAACCAGTTATAGTAAAGGACTTCCTGATAAACAGGTGCGTAGTCCTCCGTGTGCCTAAAATTGAAATAATTCCTAAAAAAATTGATTAGTTCAAATTGAAAACGTTAGATGGCAATCGACCCACGTGCCTGTTCGAGCGTAACGTTACCCTAACCATAATTGTAAATAGAGCGAAATTTATTATTCATTAAGATAGATCAAGTGTAAAACCAATTTTCATATAAATTCAAAAGCTCTTAACTTACCTAAGCCCTGAAGCGGAGACTGGTGTTCATAGATTTGAAAATTGAGACCTCCAGCAAAGCTTTACGGTTCGAGTTCGATTAGCAAAATAAACATAGCTTTCTGACTGCTTGTGATATTTCTAATCAAAAATTGACTCAGGATAATTTAAACTAAAGAAATTGTCCACCACGCGTTATCTTCAGATTGTGGCATTCACACGTGTGATGTACCTATCACTAACGTTAAACTTAACGTGAATGTCATCTGTAGAAAACGTTATTTTGTCCATAGGTACCCACTAAATAACGTTTTTTAAGGTTGCACGTTTGACGTTTCTGATACCTATAGTATCACAGAGCTGAATATATCCATTACAAAAAAGAAATTAAATCGACAACTCAAACTGAAGGGACATATTTCTAAGATAAAAATAAATTGTTTTGGCCGCTATGATCCTAATTACCAGTTATCCTCTTTCGCTAAAAATGCTTAACTAGCCAATTAACATTTCAATTAGCTTAATTAGATGTGTTTATTATAGGTATATTTGTTAAAGGTTCTAATAAAATTATACAATTTAATTCTCTCCATATAGATTTAAGAAAAAAGCCGTTAAGTTTACAATTAAAAATGGAAATTAGTATTAGAAAAAAATTTGAGTTCTGTGGGTTTTGAAAAATATATAAAATTAATTAATTAAATAAAAAATAAAAATAAAAAACCGGCTCTGGATTTTTCCAAACAAAAAAGTAAAAAAAATTTGGTTTAGATGAAACATACCGTTATAGATACCTACAATCACATTTATGCTGAAGGGCCGAAATTTGATTTATTATGTCTGTTGAACTGAAAAACTGAAGAATTAACCCTGTGGGAAAAGTAGGGAAAATAAACCCAGTGCGTTATCCCCATGATTCCTGTTGTAATTTTCAAATTTCATACCTGGCTTCCGATCTTGGCATAATTCTATGGAATTTATGGAAAACAATAATTATTGTACCTAATATTCAGATGTGTTTCTAAGAAACTTTTTAAAGACAACATACCAAGCAACCGCTCCCATTTTGAAATCATTTACATTTTTGAAGGCTCGTGTATGCTGACAATATAACCAAGATAATAAATCACGCAAGTTTTCCCTGAGACTGACAGTCCCAAAATATATTGAGAATGATTTTTGTAAATTAAAACTAAATGCCATTTTTTGTGTGCGGAACGTTTTTCTTGATCCATGGATGTGCTGTGGATGTAAGTATTGTACCTAGGTACATTGAATTTCTGCTGTCATCATGAAATGTAAAAAAAGTAAGAGTTGCCCAGCAAAAATGCTAATGCATATCATGATTTAAATACAACAGCTTATAAATAAATAATTCATTAGCGTATTGGTAATTAGTATATTTGTCGCAGGTATTTAGTTCTATACGACTAGGATTGATATTTTATTTTAATTTTGAACTAAAAAATGAAATCAAGGCTACCTTATATTTTCGTTTGTTGATATCCTCGATTACCACCTACGAAGCCGACCTTAAATAATTTCCGTTATAGGTACAGTGCATAATATTCACAGGTTGAAATACTTACCTATCCCTAGGTATACAAAAGAAATGTACGGATTGACTTAAATGTGGTTTCCCAAAGAAATTGATTTAGATATCTATCGAAAATTGTATAAGAATTTCAAGATTAAAGTAACCAATAAACCATCATAATGTTGTGAATTTTAATGTATGTTAATGGCAAATTTTAAGTTGACATATCAATAAAACCTCGCTGGAAGGTATAGAAATTAAATTACCAACTTAACTTTGATAATAATAAATTTTTTGTAATTTCATCGAAAATTGAAATTTTTCTTTTTCGAAGAGGTAAAATCTGAATAGGAACTTTGCCTATAAACATGTTAGAAAGCATAAAAAAAGTAATAGCGCGCCGAGATTTCTAATAGAAAACGCGAACTTGAGATTTATCGAATGTATGGCCAATTTTTTTAATTAAATAACTCAAACTTTCAAAAATGCGCGTTCCCCTTTTATTGTCAAAGCATTCACTAAATAAAAATGTTAAATTTAAAGGTATAACGGGCGCGTATCACTGCGGCGACTTCGTTTACATATGCATATAATGTAAATATTAAAACCGAATTAGCATTACAGATATTAAACCTACATGCGACTGCTTTGTGTGTAGAATCAAACGCGGGCGTTATTTGACGTTTGTTACATCTGAATATGAAAATAAAATGAAATGGAAAACGACCTATTTAACCCCTTAATGTAGAAGAAGCTTGAATAGAACACATTTCACAATGGCCGCTACTGTATTGTGGATATTTAGCAATATTTATATTGGACGTGAATGATAATAATATGCCTGCGCGAGTTGTTGATTCATTCAACAGTCAACAAAGAAGAACCAGCCTACTATTCAATGTTTCTTCACATTCAATCTCTAAACAAGCGATTTTTCGTTCCCATTGTTGGTATCTTGCGGTAGACGTTGAATTACTAAAAGCATTCTGCAATATAACATTAATGGAAATTTAAAGTTAAAAGTTAAGACGCTTTTATATAGAACCGTTATTTACCTACAAAAAAAAAACATTCTATTCAAATTTTTTCTTGTTTGTGCTAGAAAATTGTGCGGAACCTATTGTTATTTTCGATTTTTTTCACCGTAAATTGTTTTAGGCCGTGTCACTTTTGTAAATTTGTGTGGGACTTGGCAAAGAAATATTGGGGCCAAAAATATGAGAAACCTACAGAAAACAGTTGGAATATAAAATTTTATAGCAATGAAAAGAAAAATATTTCTATAAGAATTTAAAAATAATAGGCGATTGTCAAGTAGCTATAGAATACTTACCTATACCTACCTATCTGTTTGATATTGAGAAAATTTGCATAGTGCATACTTACCAAATACTTGCACTACCTATACCTACTCCTACGCTCTATAATCGCCCATTTTTTTGCTGTAAGAGCTAGTGTTTTAGATTTCACTATTATTTGTGATTGTGATATGTGATTATAACATAATTGCAAGCAAAAGATAATAGAAACAAACAACAAAATAAAAAACGGTTTACGATCAGTAGATTAGTAAATACCATTATACAATGGGTGACTAACAATGGCACATATTTGTTTAGTATAAAAAAGCGACGCAAGGATGTAAACGTTATTTTTTGATTTTTGCAAAAATAACATCATATCTACCTATACTTTATATTGCTATAGGTATAGCTACAATAATTCGCTTGTGTCTTTTAAATTTGTTTTTTAAACAATTTTCAAACTTGAGTATATATATGAAGATTTAACGTCAGTAGCATTATTTGATGCCTACAGTAGGTATACAAACACCCCTAATTCGGTTTGAAATTTATTTCTAAAAAATAAAGCCTAGGTATAAATTTTATTGGCGTTAGTTAAGGGATGATATTGTTTAGGTAGAATGTTTGATATAATTGCTGTCTAAAAACCTCTAATTTGGATTTGTTCGATCCTACAACGTTATCTTAAGAAAAAAGTCAAGCTTTAAGATTATTTCTCCAAAAAATAAAGGTTGGGTGCATAAATTTTATTGGCGTTATTTAGTGCAGATTTAATATCAATCGCAACGTATGATATAATACGTATCCAAAGTTCATCCAGCTTATCTCCACTGACTATACGAACCCCGAGTCCCTTTGTTTGTTGCCTTTGCAGAAGGACTTCACAAGTGATTGTTCGTCGTTCCATGTCTCTCTTATAGTTCAACGTGTAGGAAACCAATTTTCCAAGCTTGCGGATCTGTCCCAAGACTATTGAAAATGGTTGGTACAGTAACTTTTAACCTGCTTGCGAATTGTTCGTTCGTTTGGTTCGAATCTTCATCAAGCAATACCTGCAGTTCGGAGTCTTCAAACTTTCTCGGTGCTCCCTCACGCTCAGTGTCTGCAACATCAAAATTTCATTCTTTAAACAGACGAAGCCAATGTATGAGATAGAGCAGAATCGTGTCACAAGCCTCTGCAAGAATTCGGTGAGCTGCAGCAGCAATTTTCTTCAGAAAGAAGTAGTGTAATAAGACTGTTCGCAAATGCTCCCTTTCAAAAATATTTTCTCGCACAAAAATAAATTTTTCATTGAATACTGTTGACAGATAAATAAACTTTAAATTAAAAAAATAAGATGTCAAAGTCAACGCATCTGAAAATTACAGCCATCTAGCGAAAATTAACCGAATTTATTTATAATAATACTTAAATATTTTCTTGCACCATAGGTATTGTTTAGTCCATTTTTTTTTCGAAAACCCATGTTATTGCAACAAGCACTTCTGAAAGATGTACCTACCTATAGAAATTATTGCAGCATCTACTATGAATCCTGAGAATTAAAAAAAAAGAGGTAAAAGCATAATATAAATTTCCAAACCAAATAGAATTAAAATAAAATTTAAATATATAACTATTCAAAATCTGTTATTTACAAAACGCTTTCAAAATTTAACATAACATCTTTTACTGTTTTACTAGATAATTATTACATACAAAATTATAAATTATGTACCTACATTAAAACAAGAATATGATATTTGGCGAATTCCTTGTAAAAATTATAATTTAACACACGGTATATTGACATCTTTGTAACGCAATTCAATAATTTAGAACATAATTTTGGTTTTAAAACTGGAGATAAAAATACATTTTTGTACAGGGAAAAGACCTTAGATAGTTTTAAAATGTGCGAAATTTCCAAACTTAGTTATACAGGCTGATTCACGCAAACTGTTACCCTCGCTGTTACCTAAAAGTATTCCAGCTCTCATTGAAAGTTTAAATCTGAAAATTAGCATGTCAACATACTTTTTCACGATCTATAGAAAGAAAATGTTTTTATGATCGTTTAGCAACTTATTTATTTTAAATAGAACACCCTATGTTTAATTGAGTTTTAGAAATCTACATAAAAATCTACGTCGTTTGGTAACACATTTCGCTATATACAACATCAACGGTTTTCAAGTTATTCAACATTTTTCACAATTTTTGACGTTTTACTGCTTTTCTTTTCAGCTCTGTACATATGACTCCGTTGATTTAAATTTCAAAACGTCTTCCAAAATCAACAATATTGGCTTGATGCTAGACGATAATGACTTAGATTTTGATTATTCTTCTACAAGGTGTTTTAAAACTGATGGTCAATTTTAATAACTTCTTTGGCAAAATAAACATGCTTCATTTTGTTGCACTGTCAAATGTCCGACAAAATTCTATACATCGATCAATTGTCACATTCCCTATGCCTGTTGTTTTCCGTTTTTTTAATTATTATTATAAGAGATTATTTCATTGTACCGTTCATGGAGACTGATGCAACTGAGGAAAACTACTGATTTCAACTTATTCTCTAAGATTTATCTTTAGCGAACATTTTTGCCTTCTGAATAATAAGCCTTGTAACATGCTCGTAATACTGTCAAAGGAGATGTGCGAGAATTTTAGATTGGAATTAACAAAATAATTGAGTACTCTTTAAGTAAGTACTGTATCGATAGTATTTTTCGTCATCTACCGATCACGGTAGAGTACGGTATAATCGTCACATGATGTGACACCGTTGCCTTTTCTGCTTGAAAGTTGAAAGAAAACCTGTGACTTTGTACCCATATACCACATACTCGTACCTATACGAAACCATAAACATTTCCAATGTTAAAAAATGGAATTCTCATACAGGTATAAAGTTACCAAGTTTTCAGTTGGTGTCGTAGATTTGAAATGTATTGCCATTGTTTCTATTGAGTTAAAAGGTACCCTTTTTACGCTTTCTGACCGCAAGGGTGTGGTATTATATAGTCACAATTATATGTAGTAGTACTTTTTGACTCCTAAATAATTAAAAAAATTGGTTTGGTCCCAAAGACAAGACCACTGATACAGCAAATAGTCTGTATAATTTAGGTTGTTGGTTAAAAGAGAAAACTCTCCAATCGGCGAACTCCAATATGTAATTTTATAGCAGGTTACTTAGTTTACTTTGTTTAATTCAATTTTGATAGTTCGTGTCGCAATTTTTACTGTATTAATTAGATTTTAATACGTTGTTCTCGGTTTATTTGACTGTTCTACAAGCGACTGCGCATAAATTATTGTTGTCTACACTTTCGTTGGCTGATTACGGTTTTTTTTATGGAAGGAGTCTTTATTTGCGAGTGTAAATTTCCACTTGTGCGATTTCCAACTTTCAGTTATTTCGCGTAACCGGCGTAAACCTTTTTTCCCTAAAGTTTTTTTATTTCACATCAATAACTTGCCGTAAAGATCTGCTTGTAACAATGGTATTAATTTTTTTATGCTTACAACATTGTTTATTTAAACAACTGCGAAATCCACACCAGAATACTGCACAATTTTTTGTTCTTCGGGAAAAAGCTCAAATTAACTCGAATGAGGACAAATTGTCCGCTGTGGCTAACGAACTCGCAAATTTATTTTTTATTTTGGGACCGAATTGTCCGCTTTTAATTTAACGCTAAAATCAAGAATATTTTTCTAAGGACCTTGCTTCTCAGAACATGCAAACGTGAATTAATCTAAACTCTCGAAAAGTAATCCCCCCTTCTAGTAACTACTTAGTAATTTTTATGCCTAGATGGCAAATTGTTAATGACGGGTATTAATCATTTTCATTGGTTATTAACTTTCTTTCCACCAAAAGCAAACGACATTTGGGGTCCAAGCTTGTGTTGTCTCACAGTCTGATACCCATATTACTGAGTTGCAAAAGTAACTAAAGAAGGCTAACTAACAGAGTATAATTTAAATTGTAAATTACCCTTAATTAGATGGACATTTCACATTAGTCGATTAAGGCGGATAGCACCGGGTTCTGTAAAAGCATGATTATTTTTTGAACGCGAACGCGAACCGAACACTTGTTTTAGTGTTTATCGCAAATTCGATAAGTTTGCAACTAGCAGAAAGCAAATTTATCTTCAGATCTATTGCTATAGCTTCCATTTTTGCACAAATAGTTATCTTAAATATACGAAATATGATTTTCTTGCATTATACCTACCTCTTGACAAATTGCACTATTCCAGGTAAAGTAAAAGTTAATTAGCAAAGGTATTCAAATCAATATGTTTTTAACTGCTGAGTACCTACATATTGCGAAATCGTAATGTAGAAGTAACTAGCTGCAAGGAAAACGTATGAAGATTTATGACGTTTCCCATATACTTAGGTACCTGTATTATGTGCAATCTGCGTTTTGAAATATGTACCTAAACCTTTTGAACTGGGCAGAAAGTAGAAAATTTGGTTTTATTAATGCATGTACTGAGCTTGAAATGATTACAAATTTCATCATGGCCATAATCATCAAAGATCTTATGCAAGAAGATGATAGTATCAGCATTACATTTAACGGTTATAAACGAATAAACTGTCCGGTATAAAAACTAACAGCCTCACAATTGGTATTGATACATTGTAAACATTAGATACCTACATAAAACAGCTGGTTTGAATAAAATTTATTTCTTCGCGTAAATTCCACACTTTAATGTTAGTAAATTAGATAACTGCATTATAAGAAAACAAGTTAAATCCGCCGCTGTTGTGTTAGTTGAAGGATTCTTAACGAGTCGACTGAAAAATCACCTATTAAACATATAATATATTTCTAATGGCCTATTACAGTTAAACGCATGGAAGGATTGGTAAATGATGCCGCCCTTGTTTAACACGATGTAATTTCAGCGTCACTCACGCATGGGTAATAGCAATCAATTAGAATACCTCATCGCGTTTACCAGTTACAGATACAGACTTTATATATTGGTAGAACGCAGCATGCTACCGCTATTATATTGTTATAAAGTTAAGGGTGACTTAGTTAGTTTCATAATTTATTATTTGTATGTAGAATAATAAGAGGGTGGTAGTGGTGGTGCTTTAATTGTGTTTTGAACAAACGAGAGGGAAATCTCAATCTATAATGCTGTAACTGTTTCATCCTTCTGTTGATTAGGCGCATGAGACGTGTCGGTGACATTCAACAATTTACTAATTACGATCCAAGGATTTAACCAGAATGATTTGTTTTTTGAGATAATTTAAATCTAGGCACGGATTTTCAATATAAACCTATATACAATTCCAATCGTTTTCGCTATAAGTGCAGTTTTTTTTCTAATTAACGAAAGGAAATTCGTAATAGATTTATTACCAATAAATTAGCAATTTCGCATTCCAAGTGACAGTTTTGAAATTTGTCCTTATGTAAGATATTTTTAAGTTTTATTATCTTATCTTAAATATCACATTTTTTCCGAAAAAAAACTTGTGGGTATTGGAAAGTAGGGAATTTTTATGTCACGGAAATGAAGCAAGAGGACGCATCGCATCACATTTTGAAAGCAATTTGTTAGCGACTTTCCTTCTACTGTAGAATATTTTATTTTGCAATTAATTCTCTATCATATAAAAGTTGTTCTTTCAAAAAACTACAATGTCTCGTTTCCGTTATTGACGGTGGACACCGAATACGGTGCACACCCATTGACCCAACATTTCATGTAAACGGAAAGTGTTGCAAAAGGTAAATTAAATTTAGGTTATAAAAAAAATCGAACGTGGGTTCTACGCAAATCCGAATGTGTGCAGTGTTTCAAAATATCTAAATGGTAAATCATACTAGGAAAATACAAAATTTGAAACAAACGCGTTTTAATCATCCAGATGTGCCGGTCGGAATGCCGTTTGCCGTTTTTAGGGCGGAAAGGGAAAATCAGCAATGGTCTGGTCTGTGCTCTACATGTCTACCTGCGCGTGCTATGAGTAGGTAGGTACCTATATACCTACCTATTTTTTTTACTTTGGTTACACAATGTGTAAGTAATGGCGGCCAAAAACTTTCTTTTAGGTCTCTAGGTGGTT